TTCTGTCTCTGCTACCAAAACTACTAATTTTTGTACCATATTAAGGTAACACATCTTCTTTGGTCAACTGGCCACATTACTTGCTTCTTTTTCTTCCTAAAGGCTGCTTCTCCAGTAATTTGGGTTCTGGTTTCTTTAATTTGTCTAAAACAAAAGAATTCTATGAAATAACCACCAGAGAAACTAATTTAAAGTTAGCGACAACTCCCCTAATTAAATAGAGTGATTTCCACCTACGCTCTGTTAAATTAATTCCCCCTTTGACAGATAATTCTGCTGTGATTGCTGAGAGACACCAGTCTACTTTGTGCTCCTATAACTAAGCTGACAAGAGAAGTGCTGGGGCCCATGGTATCATGCTGATTTACTCGTTCTTAAAGCATATTCCCATTAAGTAACTGCAAGAATGACAGTTTATCGAGCACAGCTCAGTAAGAGATAAATTAAGCCGTTCAAATCACTAAACTAGTAAACAATTTAGGAGCAAAATAGGTGTTCCAGAAAATATGGATGGACTGGAAGTGTATCTTCTCTCCTATCTGCTCAAGAGACTGGGATGCTATTTAAATTATTGAAAAACACAGAGTTCTATCATTTTGTCACTTATCATAATTACAGAAGATTTGTCAAATTAAGCCAAGTAAATTATTACTTTAGAATTTGAAGAAAACACTCTGAGTATATTGTAATTGGAATATTTTTGAGTTCTGTGGGCTTACTTACACTTACAACTAGCAGGCCACCAAGTAGCCAACTGGAGAGGAAAATCTCTATTCAGATGCATTGCCAGATGTACATATATTTTTAGAGCAGTTTTTCAGAGCATTTCTTTCCTGGCCATCAGCATCTCCCACCTGGAAAGTTGCCATAAAAGCCATCTTTGGTAGCCAGCCTCCAAACTGGCTCCCAATGCTTCTTGCTTCCTGATACTCACACACCCCTACAATGAGTACAACTGACCTGTATAACCAATATAAGATTGCAAAACTGATAATGTGTTGCTTCCAGTGCTAGGTAATAAAAGACATTGTGACTTCTTACTGGTCTGATAAAGACTGATGAAACTCCTGAGACTATGGCGCCTAGTCAGCCTTTGGGCCTGGAATTGAACTTACTCCTATGGCTTCCAGCCAGACAATGGACAGGCCTGTAAGTTGACCATTTACACCAGGTAGGTGTTCTCCTTAGAACAATCAACCATGGGAGATCAGAAAGGGCAGCATTTACACAGGGAGATAGCTCAGAGGGCAGGAATACATAGGAAGGAAGGATGCAGGGAAAGGTAACCACAGGGAGGAAGTGGAAAGAGTACTGTTACATTATGGGGATTGCAATCAATGTCATGAAAAAAAAAATGTGTTCGGACTGTTGAATGGAAAATGAATTTACTCGACCTATAGTCAGCTGATCTTTGACAAAGGCCCAAAATCCATTAAATGGGGAAAAGAAAGTTTGTTTAATAAATGGTACTGGCAAAACTGGAGATCCATTTGTAGAAAAATGAAACAAGATCTGTACCTCACACACAAAAACAAACTCCAGATGGATCAAAGACTTAAATGTGAAACCTAAAACTATACAGTTCCTCAAGGAAAATCTAGGGGCAAATTTAGGGGCCCTAATCGGAAGGAAGGTTGGGCAATCCTACTTCT